GGAAACACCAATCAGAATGAATGTATGCACCCCTATGTTCATAGCAGCACAATTTATAATAGCTAAGATCTGGAAACAGCCCAAGTGCCCATCAATAAACAAGTAGATAAAATAGCTGTAGCACATTTACACTATGGAGGGACCTGGAGAGTATCATGCTAAGTGAAATAAGTCAGTCAGAAAAAGGCAAGTATCACATGATCTCATATGTGGAATCTATAACAAAATAAACTGATGAACTAAGTGGATCCAGAGACATGGAAGCATGGAACAGTGTGTGGAATCTGAGAGGGAAGGCGGGGGAGGATGGGTGAGTGGGAGGTAATCAACCAAAGACCTTGTATGCATATATACATAAGCCATGGACACAGATAATAGGGTGGTGAAGTCCTGGGGTGCAGGGCGGGGGTGGGCTGGGGGGAGTCAATGGGGGGAAAAAGGGAACATATGTAATACTTTCAACAATAAATATAAAAAAACAAAAACTAGAAAGCAGCCCAGCCTGTGTGGCTCAGTGGTTGAGCATGACCTATGAACTAGGAGGTCATGGTTTGATGCCCGGTCAGGGCACATGCCCAGGTTCTGGGCTCGATCCCCAGTTGTGGATATGCAGTAGGAGCCATTCGATTATTCTCTCTCAGCATTGATGTTTCTGTCTCTCTTCCCCTCTCCCTTCCTCTCTGAAATCAATAAAAAAATATTTTTAAAAAGTAAAAAATAAATAAAGTAACCACTTAAAAGAGGTGCAGATAAGAAGCCAGTTGTGGATATAGAATGGAATGCTAATAAAAACTCAATCCAAAAGAAATCAGAAAAGAAGGAAAAAAAGGAAAAGGACAGATAGAACAAATGCAAAATAAAAATCAAGCTGATAGACCTTAAACTCAACTACATCAAAATAATTTTATTAAACACAATCCAAAGGCAGAGGTTATCAGATCATGGGGGAGAAAAAAACAGCAATGTGCTGTTTGCAAGAAAAAAACATGTTGTATATTAAGACACTAATAGGTTAAAAGCAAAAAGATGGGAAAAACATACCACAAGAACACTAATCAAAAGAATGTATTAAGCCCTAGCTGGTTTGGCTCAGTGGATAGAGCGTCAGCCTGTGGACCAAAGGGTTCCAGGTTTGATTCCGGTCAAGGGCATGTACCTTGGTCAGGGCTCCTGCAGGAGGCAACCAATCGATGTGTTTCTCTCACATCGATATTTCTCTCTCTCTTTCCCTCTCTCTTCCACTCTCCCTAAAAATCAATGGAAAAATAGCCTCAGGTGAGAATTAAAAAAAGAAAAAAGAAAAAGAAAAACAAACAAACAAAACTACAATACATGGAAGTTTGTGGGATGCAGTTAAAGCGATGTGCAGAAAGAAGGAATAAAATGGATTATCTACCTTTCCATCTTAAGAAGTTAGGAACGAAGGAGCAAATAAAATCCAAAACTGGTTCTTTGAAAAGATTAATAAAGTTGATAAACTCTTAATAAGATTTAGCAAGAAGACAGAGAGAAGGAGAGAAACTACCGACATCAGGAATCAATAAGTGGACATATTACAGCTCTTACAGAGGCCTCTTCCTGGTGCCCCCCACCTCCATCCCCAAGGTAATTGGGACTGTCAGCCACTTCTGAGACTTGGACCAGCCAGGCCTCATGGTCTAGTCGCCTGCAGTTTCAAGTGAGGGACTTCCTGGCCCCTTGACCACGTTAATCATTGTGCTGCGCTGCCCAGATAGCCTGGGATGGCATTCCCGCAGTGGCTTCCGAGTTGGGGGTCTGCTGAATGCTACACCAACAGCCTTCTGTGGGCATGGAGACTCAGGCCCAGCCAGGCCCCCCTCTCCTTTCTCAGCACTGGTTTCCTCTGTCACTTCGGTCCGAGTCAGGTGGAAGAGGCTGACCCTGAGGGACAGAGGAACACTGCTGTTTTCCAGAAGATGTCTTGTGGAGGGAAGCCTGGACACTTCCTGGAGGAAGTGACATTTAAGCTAAGCTGGCGGAAGCAGGTAGATGGGCAAGGGCATGGTATGTTAGCTGACATAGCAGGAGGGGCGCAGCTTAGCTTAACTTCCCTGAACTTTGTCCTGAGAGCCAGGGAGTCAGTGGGGCTTTCGCCAAGGGCATGACCTGGCCAGCTCCATGACTAAGGAATGCTACTCTCTGGGAAGGGAGGGGGATTGAGTGAAGTGGGAGAAACTGGGGCAGGGAGCCCAGGGAAGGGGCTGGGTAGGGGTCCAGGGTTTGAGCCAGGCTCCAGATCCAATATTGCCCATTTCTGCCCTCCCCTTCCACCACTATTCTCACCCGCAGGGAAATGGTGAAAGGCTGTTGGGGGGACAGCAGGACCCCATCTCCTTGGAGAGGATGGTGAGCCTGGAGCGGAGGCTCCTGTAAGCTGCCCTCTTCAGGGGGTCCTGACTAGGGCAAAGCAGCAGGGTGTGGGTCCCCTTCCCTCAGGGCACAGATGTAGGCTTTGTTCCTTAGCGCCCAGAGGACACTAGTTCCAACAGAACCTGTACTGAGTGCAGGCAGCATAGCCACAGTTACTGTGGACAGGCAAGGGAGCTGGCAGGGCGGCCACAGGGCTGCACTATCCAGGCTGGACCCTGTCGGACCTGTGGGTCTGGGACAGAGATTCTAAGTCAGTGCTAAGGGGGGAGGAGAACCAGAGGTCCTTTGCTCAGTCCTGTACCCAGAAGGTACCAGCACTAGCATTTTCTCAGAGGGCCTAGAAGGGCATCTAAGGGCTTGGGGCAGGGGCTCCATCTTCCCCACCTGTCCTGCTCCCTGGGAGGTATGACTTCCTGTCCCCCTGGGTTGTGGCCCTGAGCTATATTCATGGGAGGCCTGAGGCCAGGCTGTACTTAGCCTCCATATTGATCCCTAGTTTGAACCCTACCCATGGCTCCTAGGAGGAAGCCCAGACTCCTCAGGGTGGTCACTCCAGCCCATGCAGCCCGTCTCCCTTCCACACCTCCCGTGGGAGCATCTCCAGCTGTGGAAGTGAGCCTCACTCCCTTCTCTGCCAGGGACTCACTCCTTCAGAATCCCTCCCTTCATCCCACCCCCGCACCAGGCCATCTGTGTCCCCGATGTTTGACCAGTGGGTTTGTGCCTGCGCTATGTGGGTGCAGACTTCAGTGAAATAAAATTGGAAATTCACTTACAAGCCTTGTGACTCCTTTTTTCAGACATAACTAAGTGCGGTGGGGACCTGGGGAACATCAGCCTGTTCTGAGCCCTGCCCACCTTCCCAGCATTGGCCGTGCTGCACCTGTTCCTTGCTCTCTCTATGCTAGCTAGCCACAGTGGCTGCCTTTCAGTCAGCCTCCTTTCAGCCTCAGGGCCTTTGCACCTGCTGTTCCTCTGTCTGGAATTCTTCTGCATCCTTCCTATACATAGATAACACCTATTCCTCCATTTCCCTTGAAAAACCTCCTCTGACCTCCCTGTTTAGGTCAAATGCTCCTGAAGATATGCCCTCTCATGTGTCTTTTCCCGTGAGGACCTGTCAAAACTGTAACTCTACTATGTCCATCTCTCTCCCCCTCGCCTGTGAGCTCTGCAAAGGCAGGAACCCTGTCTGGTTTGGCCAATGATTCTATTCTCTGGCCCCAGCACAGTTCCTAGGGTCCAGTAAGTGCTCAGCAAATTTTTGGTGAGTGAAGGGATGGGCGAATGGCTCAGTTCCTGGCTGAGCCTGTCAAGTGATTTCTCTGGGAGTGACTCAGAGAAACTCCAAGGAACTGAGGACTCACTTCCATGTGCGATGTGTTTACCCAGCACTATGTCTTTATTAAGAATCTGATTCCTCTTTGTCCCAACCCCCCTTCTCTATTGCCGGTTCACAGACTCAGCCCCCACCTGGCAGAAATGCCACACCCCCAAACACCTGCTTTCATCTTCCTGCCTCCACCCACAGAGCGTCACTGTGCCCGCAGGTGCGGCCACACCTGCTGGTCAGTCACCAGGGGCTCCGGAGGAAGAAGCCGCCACCTGGTGGCCCTGCGGTAGAAATAAGCAGCTCCTACCTCCTGGGCACGGCAGAGGCGTGGGCTCTGTGCCTTCAACCGCGCGGGTGCCGGGCTTCCCGAGCCGACAGGAGGGAGGTCACTCGCCGAGTCATAGAGCCGAGAAGAGCGGTGCCCGGAGAGGCACCCAGCGCCGCTGGCTCCCGGACTCAGGGCTCTAGCAGGCTGTTCGCCTGGAAGCGGGCACCCTACTGACGTTTGTAGCGGCTAAGCTCCCCTGTAGGTGAGCAGGACACGCTGGGAGACTACCTCCATTCGTCACAACAGGAATCTGAAGCCCAGCGGGGCCCCAGGAGGCAGAAGGCCGGCAGGCCCAGGCGCAGACCCCGGAGCGCAGAGCAGGATCCCGGCTCCCTTCATGGCGCCT